AATCGGCCAAAGCGGCCCCAAATACATCCAAAATCATCCTAAAATATGCTCTAAAGCGCGCCCTAAAGTGCGCTTGTCATCCCCTCCTTTTCCCTCCACCACTGCTGCCACCTTGAACACCACAAGAAAACCCAAACCTAGCCTCTGTCCCCTCATTTTCCCTCCATCTCTGCTGTTCGAATTGAAGAAGTCGCGCCTCCAGACCTAGCCTCCGTCCTCGGTCTGCTGTTCTCCTCTTCTCTTCTTTTCTCGTTTCCTCTGGGGCTGTTTGAAGACGCCGCGCCGCAGCCCTGAAAGTCGTCGCCGCGCCACCTTCCACCGCACCACCTTCCACGGCTGCACCACCTTCCACGGCTGTTCTAGCTTAGGTATAATTTTTTTTCTTTATTCACAATTATTTTATGAATTATGTACTTTTAATAATTTCTTTTGCTTGTTGAAGAATTGTTAAGCAAATTAAAATTTAGGTTTAAATATAATTTTACTTCAATTTTTAGCAATTTTTGGTTTTTTTATTGGGAAATTGTGAAATTATTACAAATTAGTCAAGTTTGAAACTCAATTAGTTGGATTTTATTATGTTTTAATGGTTAATTTAATGTGTTTTGGTGGATAATTTTGAAATAATTATAGAATATGTATTAACCTTGGTACTTAAATAGGTGAAATTTGGTATGTTACTTTTAATGGTTAATTTGAATAAGTTAGAGATTAGTGAACTTTGTTATTAAATTAGTTGAATTTTGGAATGTTTAAATGGTTAATATTAAGTTGTTTTGATGGGTATATTTGAATAAATTTGAGATTAGTAACCTTGCTTGTTACTAAAGTAGATGAATTTGGAATGGGTGAATGGTTACTTTTAAGTTGTTTTGATGGGTAATTTTGAAAAAATTAGAGATTAGTAACCTTGTTAGTTAATTTTGAATAAATAAGATGAATTAAAGTAGTGAATACATTGTTTAGCACTTGTTAGTTCGATGAATGATGTGTTTTAGCTTATAAATAAATTAGTGAATTGACATGTTATGAGAAAGAAATAGTACATACCTAATATTTAAACTAATTTTGTTTAATGTTTATTTTAATAGATTTGTGAATTGAAGCACGAGTTTTTTTAGCTTGAGGACTACATATTGAGCTCAAGTGGGTAGTAGCTATATTGGTATGACTTATAAACTTTACTTAGCTATATTTCTTTCTATTTATCCATTTAATAAAAGTTTATTCATGAAATTGCAACTTGTGTATTGTTTAATTGCAAATAAATACAACAATATATAGAATACTTGCATCATCATATGCCTAGATACCCGGTCAAGGCTTTCTCATTAGGAGAAAGTCTTGAATAGTCCCCGATTGGGACTGTTCTTGAATGTGTACTCTCACTTAGGTGGTGAATGTATGTTTTCTTTTCGATTTTGAGGAACATCTTGGCTTACCATTTCCTCACTATGTTCTCTGGGTACATATGTGGGTAATTATTTATCTACATCGTGTACTTGGAGAACTAGGGGGAAATGCTGCCAGATTTTCCTTAAAATTGGAAAGTTGACATACATTCACTAGTGAGAGTAGACATTCAAGGATGGGTTAGGTTGGAGTGATAAGGACCCTTTGGAAACATGCATTTTTTCACTATATGAATGGTAAATTCACGTTTTGTACTTGAATTTGATTTACATAAAATATGTAGCACTTACACATTATAAATTATATGGTGTTATATATGTTTAGAGACAATTTACTAAATGGAGAAGGATCGTGGTTGGATGTATGGTAGACGCGATACATTGGAATTTTGGAATGGGGTTCAAGAATTTTGCGAGAGGGCTATAGCTTATCAATGCAAACTGGGTGGCAAAGGCCTTTATTGTCCTTGTGTTGATTGTAACAATGTGAATGTGGTCGATAGTATTGAAATCATTAGAGATCATGTATTATGTCGTGGGTTTAGGCAATTATACCATGTGTGGATTTGGCAAGGAGAAAGTGGAGAGTATAGTGGGGATCTTGATCGGAATGATGTGCGTGTTAGAAGCAATGAGATTCATGTGGACGAGGAATACGAGAATGATGACTATATTGTTGATAATGGTGAGGATGGAGCCGATGATGATCAGGCAGATGAGGTCGAGGATGAACAAGTGGATGAGATGTTGCATGGTGTTGAAGGTGAAGTGTTTGAGTTATTATCGGAGGCTTCCAAAAAGCCTTTGTATCCCGGGTGCAAAAAATACTCCAAAATATCGGCTGTGCTAACACTTTTCAACATTAAGTCGAAGCATGGGTGGACGGACATCAGTTTTACTTCTTTGTTGACCGCATTAAGTGATATGTTGCCTGATGGGAATGAAATTCCTAAGTCTTACTATTACGCAAAGAAGCTCATGTGTCCCTTTGGTTTAGAGTATAAGAAGATACATGCATGTCCTAATGAATGTATTTTGTATCGAAATGAGTATGAACAACTGCAGGAGTGTCCACGATGCAAGCGTCGCGGTACAAGCGCATGAGTTGCAATCCTGGCACGGAGGGACCTTCTGCTAAGGTGTTGTGGTATCTTCCCATTATTCCAAGGTTTAAGCGTATGTTCTCAATACCAAAAGACGCTAAAAACTTGAGGTGGCATGCAGAGGGAAGAAAGAAAAACAGAATGCTGAAGCATCCAACTGACTCTCCACAGTGGAATGACATTGATTTGAAGTTTGAGGAATTTGGTAATGAAGTCAGAAATTTAAGGCTTGGGTTGTGCACGGACGGGATGAATCCATTTGGCACTCTTAGTTACCCAACACAGCACATGGCCGGTACTTTTAGTCTAACCGCTGAGTTAAGTAGGCCTTTTATCATTAGAAAGAGGTGATATATAATTTTCCTCCTTGGCTGTACATGAAACGTAAGTATGTAATGCTTTCATTGCTAATAACTGGTCCTAAGCAACCTGGAAACGACATAGATGTTTACCTTGCGCCGCTTATTGACGACTTGAGAAAGATGTGGGACGAAGAGGTTTCCGTTTTCGATGCTCATCAGAACGAGATGTTCACAATGCGTGCAGCCCTTATGTGGACCATGAATGACTTTCTTGCATATGGCAACTTGTGTGGGTACAAGGTCAAAGGGAAAAAAGCATGCCCCATATGTATTGATGACACATCAAGCGTATACCTGACTCATTCTCACAAAGATGTATACCTACGGACTCGAAGGTTCCTTAGGCGTGATCACCCGTACCGTAGGCAAAAAAATGCTTTCAATGGAACCGTGGAAGAGGATACTGCGCCTAGACCATTGACTGGTGCTGAGATTAGTTCTCGGGTGAAAGGGATACGAACGGTGTTTGGAAAATCAGAAAAAATTGTGGTCTCAGCTGCTCTGTTTAAGAAAGAATCAATCTTTTGGAAGCTTCCGTACTGGAGAGAACATGACGTTAGGCATTGTCTTGATGTGATGCATATAGAGAAGAATGTGTGTGATGCTCTTTTGGGGACGCTTTTGAATATCCCAGGCAAAACAAAGGACGGAAAGGGTGCACGGTTAGATTTGAAAGAGATGGGGATTCGTCCAGAATTGTGGCCTCAAGAAAAGGTTAGAAAGGGGAAGGAGCCGAGAATAGAAGATGAAAATGTTTCGAAAAAAGGGAAGGAGAAGAGCAAGGGAAAGGGAAAGGCCAAAGATGCGTCAAAGAAGAAAGTTAAGGGTAAAGGGAAGCATGAAAAGAATTATTTACCCCCGGCTTGCTATACATTGTCAAGGGTAGAGAAACGTATGTTTTGTGCATGTCTGTACAGCATTAAGGTTCCATCAGGGTACTCATCTAACATGAAAAGATTTGTAACCTTAAATGGAGAATTGAAGCTGACAAGTATGAAATCCCATGATTGTCACATTATGATGCAAGTATTCCTACCGATTGCAATCCGTGGTATTCTACTGAAACACGTGAGGGAAGCGATTACAAGTCTTTATTCGTTTTTCAATACAATTTGTAGCAAAGTTCTTGATCCTTGTACACTAGATGCTTTGCAAGCAGATGTGGTTGTGACTTTGTGCAAATTTGAGATGTATTTCCCACCCTCATTTTTTGACATAATGGTTCATCTAATTCTTCATTTGGTGCGTGAGATTAAGTTGTGTGGTCCAGTATTCATGAGGTGGTGCTACCCTTTTGAAAGACACATGGGTACATTACAAGATAAAGTACGGAACCGGGCTCACCCTGAAGGAAGTATAATGCAAGGGACCGTGGGTTAAGAGATAGGTAACTTTGTGGCGGACTACATAGCCCTTGCTCAACCTATTGGTCTTCCACTACAAAAATCAAGCCTTTTAGCGACAAGAGGAATCCGTCGCTAGTTTCAGAAAATCCGTCGCTAAATTTAGCTAGCAACGGATATAGCAACGGAATCACTTTGTTGGTAAATATGTTGTCGCTAAATGGACTTAGAAACGGAAAACTAGTAATCCGTAGCTGTTTTAGCGATAATTTATTTTCCGTTGTAGAATCCGTTGCAAAGACTTAGAAACGGATATAACTTGCTCTGTCGCTAGAATCAGCAACGGATTTGTCAAATCCGTCGCTGGAATCAGCAACAGATTTGACAAATCCGTCGCTGGAATCAGCAACAGATTTGACAAATCCGTCGCTGCCATCAGCAACAGATTTATCAAATCCGTCGCTGGAATCAGCAACGGAATTGATAAATCCGTCGCTGGAATCAGCAACGGAATTGATAAATCCGTCGCTGGAATCAGCAACAGAAGTTTTAAATCCGTTGCTGATGGCAGCGACGGATTTGTCAATTCTGTTGCTGATTTTAGCAACAGAAACATAAATTTGTCGCTAGTGTTGAGACAGAAATAAAATTATTCGTCGCTAAGTGTAATAATGGATTAAAATTTTAATAAGCAATATTGTTTGTATTTTTCCATTAAATATCAGTTTTTTTTTTTTGTCACATGATATGATACTAAAAAAGAAAGACAAATTTATTTTTATTTTTTTTTTTGAAAGAAAAGAAAGACAAATTTAAACCAAATTTAATACATTAAATCATAAGGGCAAAGTTCACAGTGTAACTTACAAGGGAACATGTAAGCTAGAGTTAGTAGCAAAATATACAAAAGCAGCCTTTTAGACTTAGTTAATACCTAATGCTATATACTTGGTCCAAAATATGCTACCATGAGACTAAGACCTATATTAGAAGCATGTCAATTGTAATAATTAGAGACTTTACATGCAATATATAAAAAGGATCCTTGTTATTTGCACTTGATGATCATGCATCAGTAGGAGAGGATGTAGATGTTGCAGAGTTTGAGATTTTCTTAGATTGGAGAAGCATTTGCACTTGTTGTTCAAGGGCCTTCACAGTGTTTTGAGTTTCGGCAAGACTTTTTTGGGTTTCGACAAGGCTCTCTTTTGTTGCATTAAGCTCTTTCTGTTGTTCCACATTCTCCGTAACGAGATCAATAAATTTGTTTTCTAGCTCCATTGCATACTCTCTTCTTGATTTCTTTGCCCTCTTCTCTTCGGTTACTGGTTTCTCATAATATGAGTAAGCAGCAGCTCCCAAACCAAATAATCTTCCCTTGTCATTCCACCCACCAGCAGCCTCAAGGAACAACTCATCTTCAGTTTTTTGATTCTCGGTCTCACATTCAAGATTTGCAGCTTTTTTACTATTATAGTCATTCTGAAAAAAAAAAGTTACAAGTACTTAACATTATTGCAAATATGAGCAGATTTAAAATTTCACTTCTGTGCAAGCAAAGACTAAACATGATTGCAAATATGCACATATTTTAAATTCACGAGCAATGAAAAGGCACACTAATTTCCAATATAGTAAATATGAGGTGAAAATAAGATTATTAAGTTAAATATTGACTAAAAATTTTGGCAGCACTTCCCCTAAATATGGACAGCCTAAATTTAAATTTAGGTAATTACGTCGTTTTAATTTGTACATCCTATAATTTACAACCTATTTCCAATTTTGACCAGTTTCAATGTCCATCATTCCAAGAAATTCAAATACCAATCATCAACCAACAGCTATTGTAAGTTACATATAATTTATAAACAATAATGCAAAGATTAGACAATATCCATCAGACTTGGTTCTCTGAGTACGCAACCCATCAAACATAGCTTGATTCTTAAATAAACAATACAACAAACAAAGAATACAATAGCTTGTTTCTCAATAGCAAACATATATCAAGTAAGAATACTCACCCACACTGTTTCTGCCTTAGAATTAACAAATCGACCACCACTATCTGCATGGCACTCGAAGTAAAGTTCAGCAGCTGTTGGTTTTCGTCCCAATTTTTTTTCCTATTCATAAAATACACTAACATTAGAACTGCATATAAACTAAGGAGACATACAATCAGTGATACATATCTAAATCAACACTAGAGGTTATTTTTGAGTGGCTTGGTCAAAAAATGGGAAAGACTTAATATATACACTAACATTAAATACGGAACAATGTATTCTATAATTTATAATCAATCCACTAAGACATCCTGTGAAATTCACCTTGCAAGGAAGAAATGGAAGTGACTACTAAACAAGAAAAACAAGAGAACATATTAGTGGGTCATTATATGTCAAAATATGTAAACTTGTAGGAATAATATAATAAAGCAACCTCAGGTTTATTACATGAATTTCTACAGAAATATGTTCACTATGGACAACCATTACTATCAAGCTCGTGCTTTCACAAGTTTAGGATTGTATCATATTTTAACAATATATTGAAATTTCAGATGTTTAGAAGTCATTACCAATTTCAGCCGCACTTCTTCAGTAGATATAGACCCTTGTCGATGGTGAATTTTTTGGGTTCCATTGCCCATTCGGTTTTTTGAGCATTGCTTTGATTTTTCTTGGAATTCCTTTCTTTTTCTAATTTGAATCATCTCCTCCCTTATGGTAGGAGGGCACCAGACAGCATTATACTTAGGATCCGTGCAAACCTTCGACACCATATCACTAATACGCCTACTACATTTTGATTTCCAACCCTTCTTAACTTCCTTAGCTATTGATGGGTCCCATGAGAACTCTTGCTGAGGTTAAATATAAAAGATCAAGCAAAAAGGCTATTAATTTGTCTATATTAAATGACAATCAAAACTACTTCAGCAAGTTTGCAACTACTATCTGATACACTAAACAAATATAACCTAAAACATCAATCTTACAAAAGACAAACCTTGAAAGCATTCCACCATCTCCGTCGAGCTTCTAATGGAGTCATAGCCCAATTGCAATATGGTCCCTTAAAGCACGCCTTATATGATGTCTTGGAAACAATATCAGTCACCTCACGATGGGCAAACCTATTCAAGTTGGAATTATCAATATAATCACTATGCATAATAAAAAAAAATTTAAAAATCAAGCTATAGATTTTTTTCTAAACCATTATCAATATACTCACCATAAACCATAAACCATTAGGATGCAGGACTGAATCAATTTTTTCAGGGTTACCAGTCTCATCAGATACACTTGTATTAGGCATTGAATCAACTTGGGTTGTTTGGGGCTCCTGGTGAACTGTTGCTTCAGTTGTAGAATTAGGCACCTCATCTTGGTGTGAAATTGTTGTTGCTACATTGGTCACAGGTGTTTGTGGGGCAGCTTGGACGTTAGGCATTTGATTTGGTGTACTCAGTGTTGTGTGGGGCAGGGTACTTGGAGTTATATGGGGTGCAGCTTTAGAAGGTATCTCATGAATCATCGCTTCACTGGTAATGCGAGGACTATTTCGATAGCCTGGAGATCGAATGATCGCACCTCTCCCATTCAGGCCACCTCTACGTCTATACGACATCTGCATGTTAGATATATAAATAAACATTCATAATAACAACTAATTAAAATTACAAATAGACAGTAAAAGTAATATGAATAATAATAATAAAACTAGATATCAATCCACATAATTTTAAATAAATAAACACATCAGCAAGTACACCAAAATATTTAGTTTAATTTTTAGGTTTGGAGTTGGCTGGCTTAAATTTCAGCATCTTCATCATCGTCGTCTTCGCCATCAGTATACTCTTCTTCTTCTTCTTCTATTTCTTCTTCCTCTTCCTCCTCCTCCTCCTCCTCCTCCTCCTCCTCCTCCTCTTCTTCTCTTTCCTCTTCTCCTTCTCCTTCTTGCTCGGCCTCATCAACCTCATCTTGGACTATTTCCGAAAGTGATGGAGGATTTTGATTGTCCATTTCTTGAAATGTCAACTCATCTAATGGGGCATCAATGGTACCTCGAGGTTTGACATAAAAGACATGTAGCCATGGATTCCTCTCTTTTTTCACAGTTGGGTTTGGTGCAAAATACACTTGATCCACTTGATAAGCTAGCACAAATGGATCATAGTTTGGGTATTTTTTCATGTGATTGACTTGGACAAGTTTATACTCTCCATGCACTCTAGTAACTTGTCTAGGATCAACCCACTCACATTTGAACAAAATTGTTTTATAACTCTTTTTAGCACCAATATACTCTAATTCAATTATTTCTTGTAGAGTCCCAAAAAAATCATTTCCTTCTACACTTTTCACACAAACACCAAAGTTTGCCATTGATTTGTCCTTCCCATAGTTAAAAGTGTGAAATTGATAACCATTAATGTGGTACTTCTCAAATTTTCGTACCCTTGTCGATGGACCAATTGCTAAAGAATAAATGATGTCCTCATTTATGTTCTTATCCAAAACCTATAAAATGAACACATTGACATTAATTATTTATAAACACCTAGGGTGTCTTTATATATGTAACTATTTGAGTATAATGACTTACATGTTCTCTAAACCAATTTGAAAAATGTTGATCATAATTGGTCCAAACATCTTCTACACATAAGCAACCATAAGTTTTCATCACATGCTCTTCGAACAAACTGTAAGATATCGTATATTAGTTGTATAAAGTAAGCATATAATCTAAATTACAGATTTTTAACAAATAACAGAACCATACCGTTCAAAATCAGATAGCAGCTCACAATTACCAAGCACATAGCGATGGGCAACATTGTAGTCCTTGTCACTAAGATAAGCTAATTGCCCTTGAGTTGGACTGTAACCAGTATTACAATAGAAAACCTCTGGTAGATTTTTGTCAATTGGCTCTTCAACGGCTTTAAGATTCAATCCTAAAATACCCACTTTTGTGTTAACGTGATCCTCAAAATAATGGGAGCAAAAGGTTGAAATCTCCTCTGTTAAGTAGGCATTACAGATTGAAGCCTCAACTCGAGCTTTGTTTCCCACCTTTTTCTTCAGGTGGTATAAAAACCTAAAATAGATATTATAGACAAAATCCTCTTATTGTTAATAAATTATAAACTTTGTCTAAAACTCGCAAAAGGAAAAAAAATAGAGTTTTGTAGTTTACCTCTCAAAAGGATACATCCACCTATATTGAACGGGCCCTCCAACTTTTGCCTCGTAAGGTAAATGGATAGGAAGGTGCTCCATTGAGTTAAAGAAACTTGGAGGAAATATTCTCTCCAATTTGCAAAGAATTTCAGGAATATTTTTTTCTAACTAAATCATATCTTGTATTTTTAAAGAAGATGAACAAATATCCCTAAAAAATTGGCTTAACTCAGTAAGAGCATTCCATACATTAAGCGGCAGTAAGTCCTTGAAAGCAATTGGAAGTAATCGTTGCATAAGGACATGACAGTCGTGACTTTTCATGCCAAAAAGTTTATACTCCTTGGCGTCTATACATCTGCTTAGATTAGATGCATATCCATCTGGAAATTTCAACCCTTCCAACCATTCACAAAAAGCCTTTCTCTTCTCCTTAGACAAGACATACGGAGCAGTTGGCATATTAGCCTCATCAACAGCATCATCAGCAACTTCTAACTTTCGCCGCTTACAAAATTTCTTCAAATCTTTCCTAGCTTTCAAGTTATCTTTTGTTTTTTTCTTGACATTCATCACCGTATGAAACACATTAACAAACACATTTTTTTCAATATGCATGACATCAAGGTTATGGCGAATTAAAAGTTTGCCCCAATATGGTAGCTGCCAAAAAACACTTTGTTTATTCCAATTATGAGGAATTCCTAATCCATTAAGAAGGCTTAAGAAATCAGAATGTTCACATTCCCCTGTTCTTGGCAGCTTTAAAACACGCTCCCACACTTCTTCACCACTTAATCTCGGTGGGGCACTAGAATATTCGGCTCTATTTTTACAAAAAGCACTTTTATTTCGCCGAAATGGATGATCTTGTGGTAGAAATTGGCGATGGCAATCAAACCAAGTTTGCTTCTTTCCATTTGTGAGGGTAAAAGCCTTTGTGTGCTCCATGCAATATGGACATGCCAACTTTCCAGCAGTACTCCAACCAGATAGCATTCCATATGCCGGAAAGTCACTAATAGTCCAATGTAACATAGCCCTCATTTGAAAGTTTTGCTCTTTAGAGACATCATACGTTGGAACCCCTACCTCCCATAGAAGCTTCAACTCATCAATAAGAGGTTGTAAGAAGATATCCAGATTGCCTTTAGGACTTTTTGGGCCTGGAATTATCAAACTTAAGAATGTGAAAGGTTTTTTCATGCATAACCATGGTGGCAAGTTATAAGGAGTTAACATAACCGGCCAACATGAATATTGTCTCCCTGACTTCCCAAATGGCAAAAAGCCATCAGTGCAAAGCCCAAGTCGAACATTTCGCGGCTCTGAAGCAAAAGTTGGAAAAGTGTTATCAAAGTGTTTCCATGCTTCACCATCACAAGAATGGGACATGACACCATCCACACGAGGATTTTCCGCATGCCATCTCATTTGTTCCGCTGTAGACTTTGTTGCATATAACCTTTGTAACCTTTTCTAGGATTTTTTTTTACTTTTGATCTTGATGTCTTGTAGCGATTTACTTTACAAACACGACATTTTTCAAGATCACTATTCTCCTTCCTAAACAACATACACCCATTAGGACATACATCTATCTTATGGTGAGGTAGCTCTAGCCCATCAAGTAATTTTCGGGTCTTATAAAAAGAATCTGTCATGTTATTAATTTTCTGGACAGATATCCTTGATCAATGAAGCGACACAATCAATGGCTTTATGTGGCATGTTGTACTCGCATTTCAAATTAGTTATCCTCGCAGCAACGGACAACAAAGACAACTTACAGCCATCATATAAAGGCTTCTCAGCAGCTTTGAGCATGTCAAAGAACTTCTTGAACTCGGGATTTGGTTCTTCCCCATCAGATGATCCTTCTAATGCATATTCCAAATGGTAATTAGATTCGAATGCATCTAAAACCATGCTTTTATATGGGTTTTATGTATCACCGATTGAAGTGTAACCACATTCTGGACTTTTATTGTCAAAGTCATCTTCTCCATGAAAAGTCCATTTGTGGTAATTAGGTCGAAACCCATTTTGGTAGAGATGGAACTTTACATCATCCGGATTCAAATATGGAACATTACGACATTTTGCACATGGACATTTTAATAGTCCATCAATCATGACATTGTCTTGCTTACTAGCAAATTCAATAAATTCGTCGACTCTTTTTGCGTAGGTTGAACTAAAAAAATTTCCATTAACCCTTTCATACATCCATTGACGATCTACCATTGCCCTTTGCATCCTTCCGATAAGCTCACTATGTATTCGGAACCTTAAATATAATTTTAGTATTAATAAACACTACCCAAATTATTCTAAACAAAAACCAGAAAAAACAAACAAATAAAAAGATGGTGTGCACACTTCATAAGCAGCACTTACTCCACAAACGAAGTACACATAATACATATCTTCATTTAATTATATTTTAATTAAATAAAGGAAAAAATTAAACTACTTTTACATGTAACAAATTTGACTTTAGCTAAATTTAAAACTTAAGTCAACTTTAATCCTATAGCTAGTTGAATCAAATACTTCATATAAAAACCAACAATAATATATGTATATTAAACTAAGTTATAAACAATGATGAGCCCAACAAACAACCTACATACAAGATTAGAAAGCATACTTCAGTCACCAACTCAAATTAAGATAAACAAGGGGGGCATCTTTAGCAATACCACAAATTTCACTATATCCCCACTAAAAATCAACACATAGACCAATAATTATAAATATTTAAAATTAATAGCCTTATAATATGATTTGAAAGTAGCTAGCAATTATCTTAAATTGATAGATTTATCATTTAGCTAACAGTTATGTAACAAAGATAAATTTATAGCACTAATTCACTAAAGACATATAATTATATTTAACTTCAATGGAAAAGAGTAAATGTTGGCACCCTTCTTGAACTTATTCAGTGAACTATTCAAGAGTACGTAAATGTGTTATTAAACTTATCAATCCTCACCTAATTTCAAACTATGACAGTATGTGTGCACTAATTAATATATATAATCAACTACAATCCAAATTGCCAACTACTCATTTCAAGCTGGATTCAAGGGACCTAATGAAGTACTCCCTTCCTGTCAAGTTTTGCTGATATTCGTAACAACTTACCCAATTTCTAGAATATCATAAGAAAGAATTAATATCTGATTATATCTAGTTTCCATATCCCTGAGCAATACAACGAGCTCAAAATTCCAAAAAAAAAAAAGGAAAAAAGGGGATAAGCTAAGTAAGCAGTAAGACAAACAAAATTCAACCAAATTGTAATTAACAATATAAATATACACACTTAAGTAGTAGATCTTCATATCTCTGTATAATCAATTGTAATTCAACCAAGAACTCAAATAAAGCACATGCCATAAAAATTCAAAAAGCACATGCAAAAGTTTCAACTCCAATAACTCAAATAAAACTCATCAATGGCGATAATTTCAACTCAAATGCCAAATTCCCAAACAATAACATGTTAAACCAAAATACCATTTACAAATTAATTAAAACCCTAAAATCAATTGATAGATCTACATACCTTCGACTGTTCGACAGGTCCTTAGGAGTTTTCGTTGGCCGTCTTCACCATCGTCTTCACCTTCGCCATCACCGTCAAGAGAAAAGAGGAGTTAGCAAAGTGGAGTGAGAACTTTGTTTTTGGGGTTTACAGAGAAAAGAGGGGAAAAATTTTAAGGCGGGTTAATGAAATGTTCAGCGCGAATACTCGAAATTTTCAAGAAATAAAAGTTGCTGACTTTTTTTTAAGAAACCTCTAGATTACCTATTCTCCAAATTTTTTTAAAACAAAAAAATAAACTAAGCGACGGATTACATTTTTCTGTCGCTGCTTAGCAACGGAATATTTTAACCTGTCGCTAAAGTTATCGCGGATAAAATATTTCCGTCGCTGACTTTATTTAGTGACGGATTTTTATAATCCGTCTCTATATTAGAAACGGAATCAAAATTGTCGCTATATTTCCGTAGCTAAAAAGCCTAATTTTTGTAGTGTTCCTACTTCTCGACATGAAGGTAGACTTGATGATCATGGCACAATTGGGTCAAAACGAATGTCACCAGACCGAGATCAATTCTTACAAGCACACCTTTATGTGTTGCACCATGTTTCAGATGTGCACCCATATTTAGACGAGCACATGGCTAGTTTGCGTGCCGAATTTCCATCCAAAGGTGAAAGGGCACTTATGCAGTTGCATAATAAGAGGTTTGTTGATTGGTTTCGTGTTTGAGTAATGAGTGGATTGAATGATACTAATGTGATCGATACAGTACGGTGGCTTGCGTACGGTCCTAGGGATGATGTCCGTTCATTTGAGGGATATGACATCAATGGGTACACTTTTTGGACCGAGGGTCGTGATTCGAAATCTTCCTCCACCCAAAACAGTGGTGTAACTCTTGTGGCATCGTCAAGGGAGTTTGCAAGTTCTAAGGATAAATCACCTGTCAATGCAGAGTTGTCATACTATGGTCGAATTCAAGAAATATGGGAGCTTGATTATTGTGACTTCACGGTTGCTCTTTTCAAGTGTAAGTGGGTTGATAATATCAGGCGTAACGTCAAACATGAGGACTTTACTCTTGTAGATCTTGGCCACTTGAATGATAGTGTGGAACCATTTATCCTTGCATCTCAATCTAAGCAAGTGTTCTACGTAACTGACCCAATGGATTCAAAATGGTCTATAGTGCTAGCTGGCAAAAGAAGAATCCTAGGCATTGGAGATGTTGAGGATGAGGAAGAATATGATGCGTTTGATGATTCAGCACCTTTCACTGTTCCTAGACCTGTTGTACTAAATGACATAGACAACGAAGCAGGCTATATGCGATCAGACCACAACGAAGGAATTTCAGAATGAGGTAGTTTGATTAAAAGTTAGTAATGGTTTCATTGTAAATATAGTTTAGTTATCATGTATATAGGAGCAAAAGTAGGCGAAAATGATATATTTGTAGTTTGAAATTGCCTAAGTGTACTCATTATCATGCATATACAAGGTTATAGGACTATAAGTAGGTGAAATTGGCTTAAATAGCTTCTACTTAACCCAATTCTTTTGTTT